ACAGATGATTATTAAGATGATACATGTACAAATGTAATCTGTTTTAATCTCTGCAAATTACTGAAAGAATTTGTTCAGAATGTTTTCAGTACTTTTTGAATTCTTGAGGCCTGAACGAGTTTTTGCTGATCGTGCTGAAATATTCATCCATTATCTTTACGCTTCTTCCTTTTCGTGTCGCGGGGCTCAGAAAACCCACACGTGCACGGAGAGAACGTGCACACTCCACCCAGAAAGGCTCCTGGCCGGGATTCGATCCAACGACCTTCTCGCTGAGAAGGAACAGCTCTACCCTCTGATCCACCGTGCCACTGCCACGCTGAAACATTCTAACTTTGAATCCGTGTTTAGAGTGTTTCCTCACAGAAGGTTTTATTTTAAAACTTTTAAAACATGAACACATTTTTAAATCATTTGCAGGTTTTTGTATCAGTTTGCTGCTTCGTGTTGTTTTGCAGAGACGGAGCAAAGACACAACGTTCTACAAGTTTACAGGTCAGTAAACTTTTATCTAACAAACATTTCACTTTCTTCTGTTGACAACATTTAAAGTTACCAAAGTGATAAACACTGAAGCAATGAGCTTCACACTGACTGGAGTTTATTCTGAAAGTTTTCTCTGATCAAACTACTTCCTGTTCCTGTGTACTAGTTCCTGTGTACTATTTGAAGCTTTCATGTATCTAAATGTTCACTGTGAATATGACACCAGGACTGTTAATATTTGTAACTTTCACTTTTCAAACTGTCCTGTCCTCGGGACACCAGGTAGATAAATCTAATAAAGTTAAGTCGGGTCCTCTGAACAGATTCTTCTTGTTGAAACGTCTTTTATCCAAAAGACTTCTTCAGTCTGAGGAGCTGCAACAAACTTATTTTTATTTAACTTTTATTTACTCAGGTAGTCCCGCTGACTCACGAGGACTCGTTTTCAACACAGACCTGTTAATTTTTTATTCTTCCGGCTGCTCCGTCCACGTCAAACTAACTCGTACGAAGACTTGGTGATTGTTTGCACGCCGGAGGTCCTTCCTGACTCAACCAGACACCGAACTACCACAGCCTCTGGGTGGAGCAGAGAGCTAACATCTGGGGCCCCCAGAGCAGATGGTGCAGGTTAAGAGCCTTGCTCAAGGGCCCAGGGTAAAGCAGTTAATCGTGGAGGCAGGTGTGGGTGCTTCACCTTTCTCACCCACATTTTGATATTGTCAGTCCGGGGAGTCAAACTAGCGACTGTCCAATCACAGGCCCACCTTCTCTAACCTCTGCACCACCGCTGTACTTTAAAAAAACACGGATACATGTGACCTTCAGAATCTTCTGCTGCTCAAACTTTAAAAAAAATGTCCGGCTCTAACTTATAGATCTCACAGCTATTGTTTGTTTGAGGCTTACTTTTTAGTCTGTCTGCCTCTCATTAATGTGGCAGCCAGGAAGTGGCAGACACAGGTGTGTGGTTACCATGGTGACCACGACAAGCCACTAGCAGCAGCTTTAACCGTTGTTCTGAACTTGGCCGGTCCACAGTGGGAGTGTACTGCTAGACTGATGAAGCCCTCCAGACGGAGAGCCAAACGTCTCTCAACTAAAAAGAAACTGTCCACATGACCTGTTGGATTTGTTACCTGGATGATTGAGCATGGACTTTGTTGTTTTG